TGAAAGGCGGGTAGGAGGTGCCTTAAAACCTTCAGCCACCACATGCACACACAGTGCTGGCTGGGGAAGCCCAGACCCCTAACGTCTTTGAGAGGCCTGAGGCTTGCTGGTTGCAGTGGAGATGTGAGGCTTCAGGTGAGTTCAGCTTAGCTGCCTGGGGTGCCATCTGTGAGGCATGGGCTGTGATGTAGGGAAGGTACAGAGCTGCTGAATTGTACACCAGGCAGACAAGGTTCTTTGGGCCAATCCAGTATCTTTTAGTAGACCAACTGAATAGTTGGAGAAATGTATTGTAGCAAGCTTTGGGGTTGAAAAACCCTTCATCAGGATGAGGAAGCATCTGCAGTTGGTGTGTGCACTCTTCCTGGATGGAAGGAATAGTAAAGAAGCCAAAGGCTGCCATGCAATATGGTCACAGAGCCCTAAGGGTATCATGGACATTTCTAGGGGCCCTATTCCATGACGAAATGCATTTTCCCAGAAAGCGCTGCACCTATCCCCTTGAAACCTGGCAGGTTTCATGGCACCAGCAGGGGCTACCATGCCTGCTGTTTTCACCCCACTCTGCCTTAACACACACCTGTGACATGAGTTTTGCTCTTAGCAACTTGAGGTGCAGTTTCCCAGAAAACCCTGCACCTATCTCCTTGAAACATGGCAGGCTTCATGGCACCAGCAGGGGTTACCATTCCTGCAATTTTCATCAGAATCAGGCAAGAAATGACAAAGATATAGGCATTTAAGTCATTCCCCATTATAACCTATGGTTAAAACAGTGTCGAAACAGCGTTGAAACTTGAAACAGTTTTGGCTGAAATGAAACAACAGTGATCCAAAATGCTGAAAGGAATATCTGTCCCATTGAAACGCCAAATCCAAAACTGAAATGAAACACAGGCATTTCACACAGCCCTACTGAGGAGCAGGAATCTTCCTTTTCCTCAGCTGCAGGTGCTCCCCCATGCTGGTAGCTGGCAGCTACACAACTGAGGTCTGAGGAATTTTATGCCCCATTTCTGGAACTGTATAGCCTGCCATGTAAATCTGGCAGGTTG